TCATCAATAAAGACGACCTGACCCTTCAACTTAAATAAATTCGTGTTTATTTCTTTCATAGTTTACAACTTAAACTCTCTGTTAGCAAATAAGCTTTGTTATCCTAACGACGTAGTGTTTAGGCTTAACAACGTCATTTTCTTGGTCATCTTATTTCAGTAAATAAATATTACACATGTACTGAACTTGCAAACATTTTAAACGAAAATTATACCAATCTCAACGTAACTGACTGGACTGTGCTTAATGAACTTAATAATCTTAATTACTTTAGTACTGTCCCAAAAACTATACCCTTGCTAACTGACCAACAAAAGCAGCATAGAGTGGAGTTTGCTATGAAATACAGAAGACAAAATTGGAATAAAGTAGTTTTTTCCGATGAAACCACATTCCAGATGTTTCAAAATACTCAGACAGTCTTCCATAAAGTTAGTACATAGCCTCCACATAAACCTATGGTGAAATATCCGTACAAAGTTCATGCATATGGTGCCTTTTCAGCAAAAGGTCCAATTGGCTTTCTTCTTTTTATAGGAATAATAGATGGGTGCTTTTACCGGGAAATTTTGACAGAAAACCTATTTGAAAATGCAAATTCTATTATGAGAAGGTGCTAGGTGTTCTAATAGGATAACGATCCAAAGCATACAGCCAAGGAAACTAAGAAACTTCTTTCATAACATTGTTCAAGGTTGTTGGATTGGCCTTCGAACAGCCCAGACCTCAACCTGATCGAAAATTTATGGTCGATTTTGAAAAGGCGTGTGGAGAAACATGTTAACAAACTGATTCTTAAAAAAAACCAGTTACTGTAGATGTTTTTTGTGAAATAATTCAAGAGGAATGGGAGGGAATTAAACCAGAACTTTTTCTTAATTTAGTTCATAGTATGAAATTGAGATTAGAACTAGTAATTGAGGGCGATGGTAATAAAATACCCTATTAAGTGTCCTTAAGTAAACTTGTTCACAGGATTGTAAAGGACATGTGTACAAATTTTTATGCGTTCATGACACTTATTTATCGTCTAATTAATAAAAACGTGATTCCAATTACTTTTTTCGACCACTGTATGTTAAAAAAATATCAAAAACGCATGTGCTGTCAGATTAAAATAAAGCTCTATTCTCGTATGGTTAGCTACTCCAACACTTAAATAAAGACTTTATGTGATACTGAAATAATCACATTGAATTAAGCATATAGTTATAGCCTAACTACCCTTCATACTGCCAAGAAAAAATCCTGTGAACAGGCTAATAGGATATTTAGTCTATTATGCTCTCTCCCTCAGAATGGTATCACTGTTTGCGTTATTCATCACTCAAATAAATTCTAGTCACCAGTAGTTCAAAGCTTGATATCTTACCTTTGGTAGGATTTCAAGAAGAGTAGTATGACGTGAAGAGTCTCGTTCATATTGATTTTTCACCAATGCCACAGCCCGTTCAATAATACTTTTTAGCTCATTTTGAGTTATCCAGGGATTTTCTTCGATTCCTTGGTAAAT